CCCAGGCTCAGAGGTCAAGCCCACAAATGACCAAAAAAAAAAAAAATGCACACTGCAAGTCCACTGCCAGGACCAAACTGTTCCTGAAGGGAGGAGCCCATTGGTTCCCTCCGTAACCCCAAGACATCACATGGGGTACAGGAAGCCGGTGGAGGTAGACGGGGGCAAGGGAGGAGGAGCAGAAGCCCAAGAACCTCTGCTCAGAGGGGTGGGGGAGGGGAGAATGGGCTGCAGAAGCGTCTGGAGCCCTGACTGGGGTCTGATGGTCCTGGGATGTTGTGTGGAAGGGGGAGGAGGGCAGATTCCGAGCCGAAGGGCAAAGGGAAGGAAACAGAAGGGACTGGGTGTTGGGGGGGCAGAGCAGGCCACTAGCCTGGGCGCAGCTAGGCAGCTGCCCTGCACCCACCTGAGTGTGGTGATTCAGCAGAGAAGGCAGAGGAACTCCCTGCCCTGAGTCCAACGCAGCGATTCCACCACTGGCCAGGATGCCAGGCTGGATGGCCTGTGGCACTGGTTACCGCGGGCAGCCGGACCCCAGGACAGAGCATGGGGCTGTCAGGAAGGTAGTCAAAGCACAGTTCTCCATGTGGGAAGCCAGAGCTGGAAGCAGAGGTAGAGGCCCTAGAGGAGAGGTAGGGAGGCAAAGTAGCCCCTAGGTGGGATCAGGTGCTGCTACACTTGGGTCATGGCCTCCTTCCTCTCCCACACTGGCCCCGGGTCCTGGTTTGGGGCAAACATGGCAGAGCCTTGTACACAGGCTCACTGTCCCCTGCTGGGTCTCCTGCGGCCTCCCGGCTCAGGGCTGAGGCCACGTGGGCTGGAGCTCTCCCGCCATCCACCAGGCCGGTCCATCCTCGCCAGTGCCAAACAGGACCCTTGTGAGTGGCCAGTAGGTGGAGGAACTGTCATTAGAGGCCGGCTGGCCTGTTGTTACTCAATACAACAGTGACAAGAACCGTAATTATGACACACACCTTCAACGGTGTGCCTTCCTGTGAATGGCAGTTCCCACAAATGGCAGCTCATCAATCCCCAGCGGTGGCAGGAACACTGTTGAGGGCAGTGCTTCCAGGAACTCTCATTTCCCCAGTCCCTGGACACAGGCTGATTCACACACACACACACACACACACACACACACACGCACACGCACACGCACACACACACAGAGGCTGTGAGCCAGCTGAGAAGGCACTGCCCCTAGCTCTGAGCACGCCAGACCCCTTTCAGTGTCCCTCCCCAAGTTCCCTCTGGAGCCTCGGGCGGCCTGGGAATGGGGCAGCAGGACCCATCAGCTCCCTGGGCTGAGGGTCCCTCCATTGTGACCAGTGGCCAGCACTGAGCTCTGGACTCCAAGCGCACCCCTGCTGGCTGCTCCCTGTGTGACCTGTCATCAGCTCATCTCTGCCCTGTCTCCCTTATCACCGCTGAGAAACCCCTACCTCCATCGACATGGGTGACATCGACGGACATGTACTCACAAAATGCTTCGTGAAACGGCAACTCCTTTGTGCAACGATTTAAAGATAATTTGAACAAACAAAAAGGAAACCATTTCCTCTCCTTTCCTGCATCTCTCTTTGCCTGAGAGGCCTTGCAGCCCCAAAAGTGCTGCGAGGAAGGGGTGCTTTGGGGGGGCCTCTTGGCCCTCCCCTCCAGGGGTAGGGGCTCTTTGGGGCTCCTTTGCCGGGGAATGCAGTGCAGGCTTTGATGCAGGTGGCAGGTTGGGCAACCAGGCGCCAGAGATGGACACAGCACAGGACTCTGGCCACAGACCTGGACCCCACGTTCCTTTTCTGCAGACCCAGCGGGGTCCTGCTGTCTCTGACTGCTGTGAGTGCTCACCACATCAGGCTGACCGGCTCCTTCTGGGACCTTTCCAGTCCTGGGTTCAGGAGAACTGCTCAGGCCTGATCGATACCGAGAAGGGTTGTCCTACTTTCAGTCTAGTCTGGAATCAAAGGGAGGGCAGAGTGGACGAGAGCATGGTTTGAATAGACTAACAGGTTAAGCCCAACGAGTAGGCCTCAGTGAAGTCTCCCTCCCCAACCCACCCATCCCATGCTCAGAACCCTGGGCCCACCACACACGGCAGCAGCCATCTTTATAAGTATATTTTTATTGAAAATAAAAAAGACATACTGCTTCTTTCCTTGTACATAGCACACAGCACCCCAGGGCTGCCACGCCCACTCCCTACCCAGAAGTCTCAGCGTGAACTGCCATGAACGGCTCGCTGGTGGACAAGACAGCGTCGACTTGTGTATTTGTTCGTTGAGACAGAACTCCAGGACCGAGTCCCCTCCCCCGCGCAAAGAAGGCAGGGCTGGGGTAATTACAATTCATGCAGAACAGGTGTCACGCTACCTGGGCTGTTGAAATCACACTTTGTACAGATGCAGAGTACAGTTACTATATATATATATATGTATGTATAGATATCTCTTTAAATATATATAGCTATATATATTTGTCTATATTTGTACACCTATTAGTCGTTCTTCCAAAACCTCCTCTAGAGGCCCCCACAGGAGCGCTGGGCAACTCTGGGCGCTCCTAACTGCCACCGGGTTCTTATGTTCTTATCCCGTGCTCAAATGTGGCAGAGACATGGGAGAAAATGCAGCGGTGGCCTGTGGACTTCACTCCTGACCTCATGCAGGGACTGAGAACAAGTCTGTGTCGAGGGGACAGACTCCCCTCCCCCCACCTCGGCCGGGACGGTGGGCTAAACACCAGGTGGGTCTCGCTGGGCCTTGTGTTCTTGGAATGGCCAGCCCTGGGCTTGGGTGGGTGAACAGTGCTCAGGTGAACCCTCTTGAAAAGCTAGGTCCTTCCCTTGGTTTTCTCTACTGGGGGAGACGGACTACAAGTTCCGCGGAGGGAGAATTGATGTGTGGCCCCCACCGCAGCTCCCCCAGAGTCTGCCTGCCTGCACAGGGATCAAGGATGATGGATGACTTGGCCACAGTTCCCACAGGTTAACTGCAAACTGGGAAAGCCAGACCCTGCCCACCCTTTCCTGACCCATCCCAGTACTTGAGGACGCCAGCGCCAGTAACTCCCCTCCGGCCCAAGTCACGGGTCTTCCACCCCGTGAGACCTGAGGACTGGGGTCCTGCCTGCCCCGTGTCCGGGGTGGGCACAGGCTGAGGTCCAGCGGGAAGCAGGGGCTGCAGCAGCAGAGGCTAGTGCCCTGCGTGGGGCCTATGAGGCTCCGTTCCCCTTTCTACCCCTCACCTTCCTCCTCACACCTATTTATCACCTGGTTCTGCTTCCTGAGTGCTCACCTGGGGTGGGGGGGGGCAGGGAGCAGTTAGGGGCAAAGCTGTTGGCATTACTGCTCTGATGCCCAGGTATGCTGGGAGGTGACATGTAAAGCCAAACTGAAGCAGAGGGCCAAAGCGAAGGAGACCTAAAGCCTGGGTCAGGACGATGCTACAGCCCTGCACACGGAGGCTCTGGGATAGTGCATCCTTTGGCCCCAATGAAGACTCACTCTCAGGCCTGTGAATCTTACTTGGGTGTGAAAGTCTCACTTGTAGCCCATATAGAGAGGTACAGCAGTGGCTGAGGGAGCAAACTGGATCCACCCAGCTAGAGGGTGCAGCCATGGAATGTGCCCGGTTGTTCCGGACAAGTGCAGAGGGGTGGTGTGGGGAGCAGTGGGGCCAAGAGCATCTTCCTCACTTGCCAAGTGACGCACAATCACAAGGCCCCACCACTGTGGCAGCCCAGTGCAAGAATGGTTGCCAGGTCAGGTCACCCGGGAGGGGTCCTCCCTCCCCTCCTTCCCACAGTCAGTCAGAACGCTGGACCACAGGAAGACTCACAGGAGAGACACAGGAAGACAGCTGCCACCTCCCGGGGGCTCTGTGGGTAGCACAGTCAGGACTCGGGGTGGGGGGACTGTGGGTGGGACACAGTGCCGGGCCAGCAGCGACCTATCACAGTGTCCCAGTGGTTTTGGCACAAGTGGTGGCCTTTGCCTGTGAGGCAGGGCCTGGCTCCTTCAGGGTCCGGTGGTGTGGGGCTGTCTGAGAGCAGGAACAAGGGCCTCTGCTCTTCCCAGGCCATGTCCCCTGTGCCTGCTCCTAGTGAGTTCTGCAGGCTGGACGGACAGACAGGACAGACAGACAGACAGGAGGCATGGCCTGGGGTAGGGGTGGGGCAGGAGGGCGGAGGCGGGCCTGAAGACGATGCCATGGGGGTGACAGACAGAGGTGTGGGGAGCACCTTTGAAGGGGATGTCTGTCTCAAGGCGGTGCTGATGGCTTCTGTTGGAATGTCCACAGAGAAGCATGTGGGCTTCCTGGAGGAGGAGGAGGAGGAAGAAGAGGAGGAGGAGGAGAGGAGGAGGGAAGGAGGAGGAGGAGGAGAGGAG